TAGTACATTATATATATATCAAGATAAAAGATGGGTTCTTTGGTCTATTACTCTGGTTTTCAATCTGTATATATGATAATTGGTCTTATATGGTCTTTTATGATCTTATAAGATAAATCAATGAATGTGATGCTCAAAAAATAAAAGGGGTGGAGGAAAAGGAATAAAAGGAATTGAAATGTGTCATATGCGTGTACCAATTCCCTTTAGTGAATGTAATCATTATGTACAACAAACATGTACTAATACAAGGAAAAAAATAACCACTATTGTTATGAGTTGCATTGTTCCTGTCCCCCCAAAATGCATAGGTTGAAATCCTAACTCCCCAGTAACTTGGAATGTGGCCTTCCTTGGAAATCAGTCACTGCTGATGAAATCAGATTCTACCGTAGTTGGAAGGTGGGCAACATAATATGACTGATGTCCTTATAAAACAGAGACATCTGGACATAGAGCTAAAGGAGAATTGGCATGTGACAATGAGGGGAGATAGTGGAGCTATGCAGATGCAAGAAGGACCAAAGATTGTCAGCTATTCCCAGTAGAAAGTGAGAAGGACAGTCTCCCCACAAACCTCTGCCAGGCTTCAGATGGTGCATGACCTGCTGGCAATTGTTTTAGACTTCTACCTACTAAAACTGTGAGAGAACACATTGCTGTAGTTTCAAACTATCCAGTTTAGAGTACTTTGTTGTAGCAGCCTTAGGAAACAATACTTGTGTCTATAGATCATCACATTATTACATAATTACCTTCATATTGTTCATATTACGTGCCCACCTTTTGTCATTGGCTCTCTTCTTCCCAAGGGCAAACATCACATGAGTGGGAATCTTCTGTTTCTGTTTTCTTCACTGATACATCCCATGTGCACAGCATCTGGGGCACAGTGTTTTAGCCTGGTTTCTACTGCTATCACAGACTCTCATAGGTTGGGCATTAATAAAGAAAACAAATTCATTTCTCACAGAGCCGGAGTCTTGGAGGTTCAATATCAAAGCTCCAGCATCCGGCGAGGATTTTCTAGTTGCACTGTAACATGGTGGAAGGCATCATATCACAAGACAGCACGTGAGAGAGTGAGGGTAGAGGTAAAACAAAGCCAAGGAAGCTGGATTCGCTTTCATTAGGACTAACTCTAGGAATAACTAACCCACTCCCGTGATAATTACCTCATCTGTTCATGAAGGAAGTACCCCCATCATCCATCACCTCTTAAAGGTTCCTCCAAACATGAGTTTAGAGGCGACATTCAATCTATAGGTATTCTGTAGGTATCTAGGACTAAAGCAATTCTAATGCACATTTCTTCACCATTTATTCATTTCAGCTTTTCATTGTACTTTTTCCATTTTAAAAAATTTCTTTTCCATTTAGTGCTTTGTATCCACAGTAGTGGACAGCATAGCTAGAAGGAATAATTTCACCACTAAAACTCAATTTAACCTCTCTTCCTGAGTTAAATATTTTAAGTAATTGCTAAAAAGTAATGAGGTTGACTGTTTATAATTTCATCTCCATTTATTTTCCCTAGCCATGTTTTTGTGAAGGTGCTATTGAATGAATAATCATGTCAGACATCAGGAGAGAATACAAACAAAGTTATGTAATCGGTGCATGAGTGATGGAAGGCTGACTGAGCATAAATTGTTTAACTCACTAAGCAAGTCTCCATGAAAGAAATTATTATTCATAATAATCTTCTAAAACCATTAATCATAACTTAATGACTTATAGTCAACAATCTATTCAAGCTTCTCAACTTTCAATTATTAAGAACATTCAGTCATTTCTGGTTAGGGAAGATAAATTGCTTCCTTTGGGTTCAATAGTTTAAGAGCCCCAAATTAGTTTATCTAGTTTAACCAATCTCATCTATCAACAAGTATAAAATCCAGGAAGTTATCCAGTTATTGTACATTTGATAACATTAGTTACTCTAACAGGATAAAATATTTTCCTGTGTATTTGTATTTGTCCATATTGGTGAGTTTTTTCTCTTATCAGCCACTAAAAACAAACCCTGAACTTGATTGCCCTAGTGAAAGTGAGAGTACTTATTACTTTTAAATAAGAAGTCATTCTTCAGCATAGACTTTACTTGTGCCCAAGGTGAAATCATAGTCCTAAATCCAAGCACTGAAAGGGGAAAAGGTTTTCATAGCAAAAGCCTCATTTACCAAAAGCAACCCTTGGTATTATGTGTGGTCATACACAGTGTGGAGAAAAAGGTATCAGTAAGGGGCATGCTTACTAGGTGAAAATAAGTAGAAGCTGTTGAGAAAGAAAGGAGAGGAAAAAACGAGAAGTCCAACCATCAGCTATATTTCTTCACTTTTTTGGCTATAATATAATCACTCAAGGGAGGACATTTGTGTTCAGATTAATTAGATTTGTGTACCAAATAGATTAGAGGGAAGCTAAATGCAGAGGCTTGTGGCTAGATTTGTATTGAGAATTTAGAAAAGGATTGGAAAGGAGAGTGTGAATATATTAAAACGAGGTAGACACCACAGAGTAGAAATGGAAACTTACTATGTTTGGGCAGAAAGAAGGCCTGAATAAGCCCAAGCTGCCTGTGTCAATTCCTTATGACCTATTTGAGGGGTAGAATTTCAAGAGTTGCTGCAGAATTCCTAGTGATTCCCTAGTAGTTCACTAACTAGGCAAAAGGCGTCACAGCATAGCACGTTTCCACAGGATAAGCATGGGACAAAATGGAGGGTGTTGCTGAGACTCGAGGAGAATTTAAATCCTATCGTGTCAGCTGAGGTGAAGGATTATGGGGCTGACTCTCAAGCCCTCCCTTTCCTGTATACATTGTACAGAGAAGGCAGAGGCTGATCTACCACAGAAACCAGGCGACATGGTTGTTCCTCAGCTGGAGTTCAACAGGAGCCAGCAGAGGGCACCACTTAGCCCAGTGCCATTTTCTCCAAGATATGGGACCACTTCAGGCAAGGAGGACGGGGCAGAGAGAGACACCACCACAGAGAATTGAACTTTTAATTGATTAAATAGAAAAATTTTCTGTTATTTGAAAACATAAAGATTTTTATTGTTTTCCCTTATTACAAACAGGAATCAATTTAAAAAATGATTAAATCATTTATAGGCTCCCAAAACATCAATATTCTTTTGACATCTGAGCCATAAATGCAAACACACAGTTTTTCTAGGGACTTATTTTAAAAACTAGCACAAACAAATGAGTAAAGAGTTCAAATAGTTTAAAAATGACTTCTGCCGGGCGTGGTGGTGCATGCCTCTAAGGCCAGGACTAGGAAAGCTGAGGCAGGAAGATTGCCTAGAGTTTGAGGCCAGCCTAGGGTGATAGTGAGTTCAAAGCCAGACTGAACTACATAGCAAGACCCTGTCTCAAAGTAAAAAAAGGACATATTTGATTAGACAACATGTAAGACTTCACATGCATATCTTATTAAAATAACAAAGTATACTAACTGTTCTAGATTTTGGACAAAATATAACTATCTGTGAACACTTAAAGTAGTCTTTAAAATTATTTAATAATTGGAAATAGATACTGTTTATTTCATATTTTAGAATATAAAAGGTGGATATGATAACACTTCATTTGATAATGTTTAATGTTGTGCTATTCATCTAAAAATATGTAAAATTTATTTTTATTTGGTAAATTAACTGTGTATTACTAGAACATCAGTTAAATTGACAATTTTTCCAATTTTCAAAATATTAGACAATCATTTTCCCGTATGATTTGCAAAAATGTACCCAACATTTAAAATTAGAATCATGATTTGAGCATACATCTGCCATTTAGTTATGACTTTATTAACACATTATTTTATGATTTTTCTTAGAACATTATTTTCTGTATTTTCACAAACTAAATATTAAGAGATCTGGGAGTAGAAATGAAGATAAATAAGAGAAACTGTTCAAATTTGAAATAAAATATGCTTTAGGAAATTTTTTTGCTTCTTATATTTTCCAGACAAAAATACTGAATTGTTTAGATGTAACTTTTATTTTAAACAAAGATACCATTCATTTATTTACCGATGACATGAAATAGAAGATAATGTAACTACTTTTTAAAATGAAATTACAAATTGGATAGACACTGACTCTGTACAACTAAATGAATTAATCATGTTATAACACATTAAAATTATCTTCCAGATATTATGAACTGACATTCAAATACAGAGCTCTATCACATAAATTAGGTTCCGTTTCTTGACAAAATTTATTCTATTATATATACATCATTATCATAAATATGTTTTACAAGATCTCAACATTTGTTCTTTCTTTGGTAAACAGTGAAAATTATGACAAATGAAGACAGTGTATGAGGGACATTAAGTCAGCTTTGATCCCATTGTTAAGAAATCCATATAGAATTGGATTGAGACAACAGGACATCATACCTAACAAATGACAAATGCAATATACCAACTTGAAATGCCTGTTCGAAATAAGGTTATCATTGAAATCAGTTACCACATGGAAAAGGTGTAGTGGCATCCAACTAACAGCAAACACTAATATGAGTATGGTCAATCGGTAGAAAACGCTTCGAGATCTCTTTTTTATTCTTGTGATGGAACGTTTCACTCTCATTTCATGAGCATCTGAATTCTCCTCAGGTTTTATCTCAAAGCAAGTTGGGACCCCTGGCATGAATTTACTAGAAGAAGAGGGCTGACTTCTCACAGAGCCAAAATTTTCTGGAAGTGCTCTCGAATGGTTCTCCTGGGAAGGTCTTGCTGGAGCAGGCAACACACAGGCTGTCTTCTTGCTATACCTTCTTCTGTGTTTTCTGATGAAAGAATAACTCCATTTATGGCTGTTGGAGATTTTCACCCGATTCCCACTCTTTTTGGATGGGTGAAGAGTTAAGTTGATCATCTCATTTTCTTCCAGTCTGTTTTCTTTGTTGGACAATCCACAACTTATGCTCCTGCAGACACTGGTATGACTTACAGTTAGACAAACTAAGGGTAGAATATACTGAACCAGCAATAAAGAAATAGTAAAAGCAATTCTGTATGAATCAGATGGCCATGACTCAACACATAAATACCTGCTGCTCAGCAACGCTGAACCAAATGTTTCCTGAAGTTCCACAAGACTGTGAAACACTGGAAGGGGAGAACAAATTGCAAAACCTAATGTCCAGACAGTAGCTATAAGGAAGTACCCATGGTTGGCGGTTAAATTGTTAGAGATAGGATGCTTTATCATATGATACCTGACAATGGCAATTGATATTAAAATTAAAGTTGAAACCAGAACGGACACACATTGAAGGAAAGGCATAATATGGCACATGGCCTTGCCAAACATCCACTGATCCAACAAGACAGAGGTCAGTGTGAACGGTGAGCAAAAGAGCACAACCAAGATATCGGAGAAGGCCAAATTTCCTATGAGAAAGTTGACTGTAGTCTTCTGATTACGCTTTTTTGTGAGAGCCATTAAAATAAGTAGATTCCCCATAAAACCAAGAAGACTTACAAATGTATAGAGCCCAATCAGAAAATACTGTAAGTCATCTACGCTGCTTCTGTAGTCATCCCAGACTGGGAAATCAGAATTTCGAGTGGCAGCAGTATTATTTTCTGTGGCAAGTGTCTTGTTATAATATTCTTTGAGCTCCAAATCCATATTAAGAGTCTTGCCTGGAATAAAAAGACATTCATTAGCAACTTGAAATAAAGTACATGGCCAGTATAACTCAATCCACTCAGAAGGAAACTAAGTTGTATGATTTGTTCCCATTACCTTTTTAATTTCCTAAGACAGGTTAGTGAGGCCTTTACTTGATTCCAAGTGCAGTGCAAATTCAGTGGGCAGCAATTATAGGAAAGTGAAACCCATCATCAGTTTTCTATGCTGTGTTAATTTGTGCAAAATAAATAATGTAAGGAAAGTAAAAAGCAAATGTAGGTAATAACTTTAAGATACATTATTTATAGTAGCTCATTACTATTATTCTCTGGTCAATATACCCAGTACACAGTATCATTACATAATCTTTCCTTAAAATTCCTTTCTTTTTTACATGATACCAGGTACCAAGGACAAACTTAAAAGTCACCTGTCCTAAAGTATTTCCTGATCTACCAAAGGATGTGATATCCTCTTCTGAACTCCCATAATACTGTGATTATAGCTGTCTGATGTTGTATGTTCTACATTGCAATTTTAAACTGCCTAGAATCTTTACCTATCCCTTACTCACCATGGTATCCATCATAATAATGTATGGTAACTTCACCACTGTCAGTGTCAGATAAATATTTAGAAGAGAATGAATGTTCAAACAAAATTGTAGCAACCGAAATAGGACCTAGTTTAGGCAGTGTTCAGATTTAAGCTTCTCATGTGTAGGACACTATCTCACAAACTAGGTGTACGTAGTGGGCATTAAATAAATGTTTATCAAGCTGTACAGTCATTATGTGAATACAATGCTGGATGTTAAAATCATTCAATGATCAATCTTGGTCCTTGGAGTTATGCTAGGTTATCATTAATTAGGGCAACCACAGACAGAAGTGCTGTTGGTCCTTTTAAAAATAAATGTTAACTGTTTACCTTTTAATTTAAAATTGAATATAAATATCAGCTTAAGAAAGATTCCATAAATTTGCATTATTTAAGAAAAATATTGTATTTTGAAGTTAAATGTAGAAATGATTGTAACGCAACACATCATCGCATGCTTTTTTTCCATTTAAAGTGAAATTAATGTCACTCATAATGGTATTACTTATTTACATCTCCATATTAGAGATTTTATAGTACTGCCTAATGAAGCACTAAATGACCTCTAACATATCAATAGGAGACAAAGTCTTCTTCCCTTTTAATAAAAATAAGCACTTCTATTTTTTAATAAGAATTTCCTTCAGAACGTTCAAGATGGAAAGTTAATTATAAGTATACATTGTTATAGAAATCTTGAGATATATATATATATGTATATAAAAACACTTTTTGGGGGGTACCAGGGATTGAACTTGGGACCTTGGGCCTGCAACTCAGGCAGCAGAACCCCTAAGCTAAATCCCCAGCCCTTGAAAAAGCATTTTTGTTATATATAAATATTTATCTAAATATGTCTATATCTATAACTGAAAAATTATACTTAAAATTCTAAAAAGAAATGTATATGTAAATTAATAGTAAACACTGTTATCTTCAATTTCAGAGGGATTTGTAGGTTCTGATCCAATCATTTTCCAAGTAGGAAACCTTACTATACACATTCATTCATTACAGATAAGTGTAACTTTAGTTTTTATATAGGGTGATATCAGGTATCATCATGCTGTGAGAAAACTGGAAGCTTTTCACAATTTCTACCACTGATTTCATGTTGATGGAATTACTTTCAGAAGCTCAGTACATCCCAGTAAAGATAAATTATTTTAAAAACCCAAGTTCATATTCATTTATTCCTAAACCCTACCCAACAATTTCCATGGACATTGTCTCCAGGGAAAAAGGGTTCCTGGTACAACAGTGACTCACAGGCCCTCCTGAATCAGGTTATTCCCTAGATGACAAGGCAATAGTCTCCCAGCACCTCCCCTGGTTAATGCTTTCTAGGAAAAGCAGCTCTGACTGGTATTTCTGCCTAATTTCCCAAGTTCTGATGGCCCCTTGGCTCAATCCAGCTTGTTCATAATCCTATTCATCCTTACAATGTGCACAGGCTATTGGTAACTACGTTCTGCTTCAGCGTTCTTTTGCCTCACTTTCTTGAGTGAATCATTTTCCTTAACTTAATGTTAGGTCTATAATTGCTGTTTGCATTGTCTTCTACTAACTACAAAGCAAGGAAAAGAGAGAAGTCGGACAATTCCTCCTACTATGGCCTTATGGTCTCTTGTAATCTAACACTCATTTATAGTAAAATTGCTGTCTTCCTTGTTTTGAAGAAGGAAGAAACACAGCAAAATTTGTGGCAATAGAAGCGGAGCCTAAAATTCAGATTATTTCCAGGATATGGGGTCAAATCGTAGAGATTAAAGAAAAGTTTTACTTTCATGATACTGAGGTGCTTAACAAACTATGTTACGTATAATGGATGCTAAGTAAATATTTCTGAGTAATCACTTTAGACAAAGAGTTTAATATTCTCAGCTATAAAATAACAGTAATGAATCATCAAAGGAATATTAAAGGTACAGTATTACATATATTAAATATACAGTATTATATATGTATATATTATATATAATGTATGTATAAATATATATGTGTGTATATATATTTATCTCCATTGAAATTAGAAAAGTTTTAAATGGAATGAGAAGATGCCCACATAGACAATAATTATAATTAAGCCCTTTAACTTTTTAAATTGTCTGTCTTTATTAATAATGACTATCACATAACTAACATTAAATTAAAATTTCAAAAATACAGTTAATGGAAAGCACATCAGCTTGCACAGTTTGTTACTAAAACTCTTCTATTTTGAATATATGGACATCAAATATTGAATTCATTAGGTTATAAAACCCACTTATCCCTTAGTAAGCAGATGAAAGAAATGCAATTCTGACTATTCATTGTACACTGGGGAAAATGAGGGTAATATTTAAGTATTTTTAAAAATTTATGCATAATTTTAAAGGGGTGGCTGCTTTCATTAATGATAGCTAAGTAAGATTAATTGTTCTTTTTTTTTATTCAACAAGCATTTATCAGCTACCTAAGATGCTAGGTGTTCTGCTCTTCTGGCAGAAAGATAACTACTCCTACCAGGTATTATGCAAGGAATATTCTAGGAGGGATTAATTCAAGGTCACACAGCGAGCAACTAAGTAGACTGCCTGAGATATACAAGTTTCTAAATGAGTGGTGAATGCATGGGATTCTTATATATTCTTTCCATTACAGCATATATGTTTACACTGTTGTTAAATATAATAGATACTTATGTAACTATCAATTAATTAGTAAATTACCTTACTTTTCCTTATGTTTTTTCTTCTAGCATTCATTTATTCATGCAACATTTACTTATTCACTTTATTTTGTTAGGATTATGTAATCAAATCTCTCCTGTTCTAGCCCCATCACCTTTGTCTACCATAGAAATGTATCCACTCGTAATAGCTCACCTAATTTTCTGCACAAAATGAACATTCTGTGAATGTTTCTTCCAATGAGTATTTCTTCTCACAGCTAAATAATGGATATTGCAATTGGGGGTAGGACTGGACATGTTGATTAGTTTCTTTAAAATCACCTCCTTGTAGTCAAGGAATCATTTAAACATCAGGGAAATTTTGTTCAATAAGTTTTAAGTTGTCTGTTTTAAAGTTGAACATGTAAGGTAGAAGAGCTACTTTTAAATCACATAAATAAACTAAGCACAAAATATTTCTCCTTGTACTTACCCCTTTTCTTCCTTTTTTCCTGAAAAACACGATAAGCAAACCTACGGTGGAAATGTGAATCTGTGCAATAACTCTCCGCTTTTCAACAAGTGTTATGATGAATGACAGCATAGATATTTTATACATAATAAAAGCATTCAATATGTGAACCTTATTTCATATCAGATTACTACAGATATTGTGAACTATTACCAGAGAGAATGTCTTAACCATGCAATAAAGAATACTACTTCAAGAAGAAATCAGGTACAGATTGGAGTGTGTGAAACCTTTCCTATATGCTGTTTTCCTTTGTGTGGTTGTATCTTGCTCCCTCAAGACCCTCGACTGAAATATTGAACTGTAATTTTCTAAATACAAAAGTGGAGGGGAGTTCTTTACATGGTGGCAACTTTGATAAATGAAAATGCCTTGGTAATAAAGATTACTTTAATTTTCTTATAAATCGATCTATAAATGAAGTGGAGACAAATGAAAACTGAAGAAACCAACTTTTTTTTTTTTAAGGTAAAAAGAATAAAAAGAGGAACTACAGAGAACTCAAAGATATTGAAAGACTGGTTTATGCATTTAAATAAGATTTCTTTGCTAGAATAATTATCTACCTTATAAAAATGCCTATCATTCTCATGAAGAATGCTAGTCACATGAAAGATTAAAGTATGCATTTTTTCCTCTAGCAATGATAAAATATCAACTATTGCCTGTTTACCTGTGATCTTGCGGGACTGCAAGATGCCATGTTCCCAAATATTCCCATACGTAAAGCTAAAATTCGGCAAAATTGAGCAGATAATTATAGATTTGCTGCTCTAACAAACATGCAAGCACGCACCACCCTCCCTTCGCAATTCTAACAGCAGAGTTTTCTTCCCTGGAGAAATCTGAAATTTAAGATTGTACTGAGCCTGCAAAATAGCCTTAGACTGGCAGCGCCTGAGAATACTTCTGTGGACCGTGGCAAAAGCTCGTTGGCTTCCAGCTAACACGACATTCCTGCCTGTAAATTAGGGGATAAGGATTTGCTTCCCTGGAATGTGAGGTGTATGGACGCGTGTATGTTTGTCACTCGCGTTTGTCATACGAGGCCGCCTGTATGTAGGAGCGCAAACCTCGGGGCGCAGCTGCCTCCGGGGCTCGGCAGCTGTGGGACAGCACGGCAGCTGGAGGTCGCTGCACCGCGGCGTCACCCTGGACCCCGCCAGAGCTTGGCTGGGGCTGAGCCCTGGCCCGGTACCCCGAGGGCTGCTGTCCCCAGCCCCCGACGCCCGCCGGGCTGCACCTCGGGCTCGCCCAGTTGGGGGAGCGCTTTGTCCACCCGCCTCCTACCCTCCCAGCCAGGCTCCGGGACGTTCTTCTCCCGCGTTCACTCGTGTCTGCTCCACCCCGGGTGAGTTGGGGTCTGGAGGGACCTGCCCCCGCACGGAAGAATGCAGCCCGACCCCTTCCTTCCCGCTCTCCCTTCCCGCCTGACAGCCTGCGCCTCCACCCTCACCTGCATCCCTCCAGCCGCGCGCTCGGGGCTTCCCCACCCCACGCACTGGAAGCCCCCAGGGCTCCGGCACCGAGGACCGGGTGCGGGCTCCCGGGGCCCACGCGGACTCTGCGCCCGCGCCAGGACTGGCCCGGCCCCTCGGTGCCACACTTGGAGGCGGCGCGGGTGGCAGAGGGCCTGGGGCTGTACCTCGGGGCGCGCGGGCCGCTGCAGGCGCGGGGCTCCCGGAAACTCAGCCGAGCGCGGTCGCTCTGCACCCGGGCGGCGGCGGCGGCGGCAGGAGCAGGACCTGGCGGTGGCGACGTGGAGGAAGCTCTGGAGCCGCCAGGGTTTTAGAGGCGCCTGGGCAACACGTGACTACTCCAGGGACCCCCGGAGACCCTGCTCCAGGGCGCCTGCTCCAGGGCGCCGGCTTCGCTCGCGCCTCTCCCAAAGCCGGGATCCCAGGTCATCCTGGTCCTCACCTCGCTGTTTGCGGGCCCGCGGAAGAAGCTGCTGGGTGTCGCCCCTCCACTTTGGCCTAGGGTCCCAGGGCCAAGTTTACTTGGGGAGGAAAGGCTCAGGCAGCGGGTCCTGCCCCGGGCGGGTAATGAACTCCGTGGGCGTGGGAGTAATTCTAAGGCTTAGCCTTCCCGAGAAAAGCGTCAAGGCCCAGGTTGTCTCATTGTTAGGGTTGGAGGGCAGTGGGCAACACTGAACAACCCCC